CTGAAAAGGGTTATGCAATTCCAGTTCTAATATAACAATACTACAATGACAGAGATTACTACTTCAACTAGAGCAGGAAGCTCAAAAAGCCTTTTTGTTCTTTACTAAATCATACTGGAATGTATAGACATCTTTAGAATACAAATATTTTCCTAGAGATCAACCAGAGTCGAAAATGATCAGTAAAATATTCCCATATTGTTGGGAATTCCTTAGCATCCTCATGAGGYGCTGGTAGTAACCAGAAACAGCATTCAGGCTTTATATTCAGATTAAATATGACCAGGCCTGTCTTAAGCAGGTCTGTTCGACTTGTGTCATGAATTGTAATGTAAARCATTTCAAGTGATTACATTCTAATCTGAGTCTTAGCCTTGTTTTTCATCTTTCKCAGAGAAATAGTGATGATTTCTAAGGAAAGCAGAGCTAACAGGAGATAATTCACACAATTCTTCAAAATAAGACTCCCATCCAAGTAAAGCAAATTTCCACCTTCTTCATGATTCCAGATCCGGACTCTAATCTACTCATTCCATTGTCTATTACTTTGTACCTCTGACAGCTTCAATTTAATTGATTTGGAACTAAACTAGAAATTCCAGGCTAAAACATTGTCTTTTACATGGATCTAGTACTGACAGGACAGGTAATGTGCTGCCAAATCCTAGCTGCCAGCTCTCGAAATTTTGGATTGCTCCAAATTAAGACCATTGTGTGTCCYGTWGGACAGGCACCCATTACAGCTGCACACACAGATTCCTCAGTGCTGAAACGTGAAAAACCATTGAATAAGAGGAGAAGCACACAAATAAAATAYATAATGTAAAAGATAAGGAAGGAGCAGACTGATTTGATRGCTTTCACATGGGCCTCTAAGCTGGGATCTCCAAAGCCACTTGCATTATTTTGCATCTGTCTGCTGTGTACCCACAGAGACCGAATCAGCAGGACACTYGAAACAAYAGACAGWATTAAAGGCAAACTTAYAGCTGCATTACAGAGAAGAATGAATAAACYCAAACTGTCTTTCCTKGTGGTTCTYATKGCTGAAGAGTTTGCCATGGAGRGWGGAGCAGTGAAGTTGATGTGCACACCGTAGTCATCCCAGGCRAAGGGAAWTGCGGTTGCAAAGGAGTAGAGCCAYGATGTGAGCACCATCCAGGGCACCAGCCTGGCAATTCTTTGCTTCAGCCAGATGAAGAAAGAGTGTGTAAAACTGGCAACCTTGATACAATAGAAGACACTAAGCCAGGCACCAAACCAGAGACCGGAGCTGTTCAGAAACACAAAAATTATCATGGAAACTATGAACACATTTTCCCTGTAATAGGASGGCTCAAAAAATATAGTCATGAAACAATCCAGCGTATTCCAGGATTGCAAAATGATTCTAGATGAACTCAGAGAGATCATGATCATATCATATGGAGACCRTCTTTTGCTTCTAATGMAGCTAGATGAACTGRCAGCCAAGATAATTCCATTTCCTAGAAGTCCTGCTACGGATTCAATTGCAAAAATKGATAGAAAAAGGAGAACTAAAAATGTGACCATTGCAACCTAAGTGCTTGCAATTGTTGCTCAGCTTTTTATGGAATCCTGAAAGCCTCAGGTCTGCCAGGCACTGCCAATCCAAACGAGCTGTTACAGGCACATGCTCACCTATTTATCTCAGAGGCAGAAGTATCATAATGTCATTTAATATTTCTGCTATTTTTAAATGTTTTTTTCTGGGATTGATAGCTCAGTTGATTTGTCTAAGCATGCAAATTGGATAAAGATTCAGTTACGGTTTTCTCAGTTTGGTGAAGGGATTTGCATTGGAAGGGTTATGGAGCAGCTGAAGTGGGGTTTCCACAACTGCAGGTTTGCACTGCAATGTCTGATGTTCTGCTTTRTATATCTAGTTTTGTTTTTTGTATTGAATGCCTTGATGTCTCCCTGTCCTGCACTGTTATCACTTCAGAGTTTGTAAGAGTAATTACTGTGGCCTCTTAATACTGGGGCGGTTCCTTTTCTTCGTCAGACATTCAAATAGCTGCAGGAAGGACACTTGTCCCAGGCGTTTTTGGTGTGTGGAGATTTTTAAACATTTTAATTATCATTGCATTCTTCTTCTGAGTGTCCTGAAAGAGAACAATAATTTTGTAGGAAGGTAAGTACAGAGAAAAGGAAAAGCATTTTACCAGAGTATTTCACTCGTCCATTTCTTATGAGCTTGCTGAAAAGATGCAGAATTTGCCTAAGGAATTTAAGATCTGGCAATATACAGCATTACATACAGGAGCAATGGYACAAGTGTTAATCAAGTCACTTTTGCTCCCATATGGGACATGTATACTTTTAACATTTTATTATATGTACATTCAAACATTTTCCACATCAAAGAATATACAGGTCTTCTAAGTGAGTGGAAAGACTTGGGTTTAGTGAAAAGCTTTYGTGACCATGTTTTATCTGCAGCACAGAATAGAGAAAAAAAAGACACAGAGGCTCTTTAGAAATGCAGCAAAGCAATTAGTTGTCATAGTACAGTAAGAAGCTTAGGTCAGTGATCAAGAGAGAAATCTTGAGACTTTTTCAAGGCTGTTTCTTTGTCTACATTGAATTTACCAGTGCTTAATGTAATCTGTGATCTAATCATTTTGATCATGCACCCATACAAGTAAAACTTTGTGAGCATTCACCTCAGATATAGGACATTTGATAATATATTTTATACATATACCACCATCTGTTATGTGCAGATACTTACTATTATAAAACATACATCAAGAAAAAGATTAAAATAATTCAAATCAAATAAACAGTATTTTAAAAATTAATTTGTTTTGAGATTGGTACAAACTCTTTTTCTGTTCACACTAAAAATATTATTAGCAATTATTTTTAGTGAGGRCAATGTTTCATTTTTTTTAAAATGTGTGCTTATCACTTTGTGATACACTAATTCAAAGGTCTGGCTCTATGTTCAGTTTCTTTTGATACTTGCCCTGAATGGTGAAATTTTGTAACGTACAGAATTGAATTTCACATGGTTTGAAACATCACTGAAAAAATTGTAGAGGTTTGTCTTGGTGCTCYGGATGCTTAGATTTTAAATATCTTGCTAATTCTGATAGCTTCATAGTGACATTAGTGACAAAACATTCTCAAAGTAAAATTTTCTTTCAAGTACTTCCTTGAAAGTACTTGAAAGTACTTCAAGTCCGTGTGATCTGCATGGCCAACTGTGTGCTTGAGTATTCTGACTTTTTGTGCTTGTGTGTGTTTCTATAGATCATAGAATCATAGAATGGTTTGGATTGGAAGRCATCTTATAGATCATTTAGTTCCAACCTCCCCACCACGGGCAGGGACCTGCCCAAGGAGTATGTGCTCAGCCTTACTACTTAGCTTGACTTCAAGAAAACAGAGCCRAAACACGCACACATCATCGTGATAATGGATTCGTCCACTTGTGGCAACATGGTCCATACTTGACAGAATCTAGTTAAGCAGAATAGCAAATATAGAGACTGCTCTAAACAAATACCATAAATACCATCTCTGCTAGAGATGTTTCGACAGGACAGGTTAGACATTTAATGAAATTATGTAACAATGGATTAACACCTGTTAGTWGTTATTAACGTAATACAATACCCTCCTAATGTACTGTTAGAGAATAGGACACAGAAAATTTCACTAAGTGCTTACAGAAATAACTCTAAATTTAGATTTGTTTGACCATTAGTAAATTGCAATTCATCCCATATGCAACCAAATACAGAACTTGTAGTTGTTTCATGCAACTTTATATTGCCCTGGTAACCCACACCAGGGAATGATTTTTGTGTCCATGGTCAAGAGTGACTCATTTGCCTCTACTCACTGCAGACCTCAAAAGCCAGGCYGAACCTACCCTGTCTGGCAGTGGGCTGACAATCTGAGCGACACTGCTGCCATTCCAGCTACTGCATTTGATTCTGCTGCTATGTTCTCAATTACACTCAGGCTTAGGAATTACTTAGAAAGTACTAGACCAATCTTTTTTCTTCAGGAGGSAGTGAAAGAGAGCTGCTGATGAACAGATAATTCCCTCACACTATGGAAAATGACCATCCAGTTCCTGGGATCAAATTATGCTGTGCACTTGGGTGGAACAGCAGGAAGTAACACATTTTGACCTGAGATGGGTCACTTTAAGGAACTATGTAGTGACCTCATGCCTGTTGCTAAGTGTCACCATATCACATTCTCGTTGCCAGTACCTGAGAAAAGGTGCTCCAYTGCATTTTGCAGCCTCATTCTCTCGATGCTGATTGTCAGGCACCCAGTCTGAGTCCATGGTGCAGATGAGACAGAGATCTCTCAGGCCGTCTTCTAGAATGTCTACCATGAGTCAAAATAAACACCAGAGAGATCAGATGGGTGCTAGCTGAACCTGAATACCCCATTCTCATGGAGCTACCTAACAAAGTACATATATATCCCCATACACTGTTTACAGAAAGGCTACTATCATTATATCTATTTCAAAAGCTGCTCAGCATCCAGCCCAGACAGAGAGTTGTGGCTGAAGCATAGATTAYAATGGCCATGTGTGCCAAGGGGCAGCAGGAGGAGCTGTTCTACAAGGAAAAGGGACCCAGAAAGTCAGCATTGCCACAAGGCAGGTGAGGACAAAACTGTCAGACATTCAGTCCCACCACATATGGGCAAGGACAGAGGRCAAGCTCTGTGATGGGTCAGCCAGCAGTCCAGTCATACCAGATATATCCATCGTGATAAGAAATATCCAAGATCAAGGCTGTAATTCCAGTCTGCAGGCCAGGATGAGTATCCATGTCAGCTAAGCAGGTGGAAAGGCCCAGGCAAAACTTCAGAACAGCTCAGGGAGAGACCAAGGGTGAGCACCCAGTTTAGAATTAACTCCTGAAATTAGGTGGGGCCAAACCTCACTGAAGCTTGTCCCAGCAATTTGTTTTAAGGTCAGTCAGCTGCCCTGTGGAAGCTGGTTCTGAAACAAGGCAGCSAAAACCCCAAAAGCAGTGCAGAGACCCTGACTGTATTCACCTGGGAAYTTTATCAATGAGTGTATCCCAGTATCATCTTTTTATCATCTGGTGGTAAAATGAATTTATCAGCAGTATTCCACACAAGTAAATTCCAAGGTGTTGAYCAGGAAAACAGAATTAGCTACCACAGTGGATGATAGTTAAATACATGAAATAGTTCAGTAAAGGTATAGAGAATAGGTATAGAGTGTACAGCAGTCTAATCTGGTTTAATAGAAGCACAGCCAGTAGATTAAAGAAAGTGATTCTCCTCCTTCATGCTTTTTAAGGTGATATCTGRAATATTGAATCCAATATTCAGGGGGGATTTTATTTTTCTAGTGMCTGCACACTACTAAATTTAAACATAACACCAGGCTTAGACTGACCACAAAGTTTTGGAAGACAGAGTCAGAATTCAGAATAATCTTGACAAGCTGAAGATGCAGTCTGATAAAATACAGACAAATACTTATAGATAGGAACAAACATATGCATATATAAATTTGTGAAGACAGCTTTAATAAAAAGAAATACTATGCTGGGAGATACAAATAGAAATATTTGTTTGTTGTATAATTTAAAGCTTTGTACTCTTCTATGTAGCTTCAATAAAGTTGTATTGCAGAACTTTAAAAACTGAAAGCAACAACCTTTTTCAGTTTAGAAAGAAGAAATTGGCAAAAGGRCTAACACATGCAAAAATAACTCAGAAGGTACAGGAAAAAACTTTTATTAAAGTGTGTTATGGAGAGGGCAAGGAGTGGGTGGTTTCATATTTACCAGGTCAGATATTTTTTACAATTAGAGTGTTAAAACTTAGAGAAAAAAAAAAAAAGCCATGTATATTCTCATTGCAAACATTTTAAAAGTGTTAGAACAAGAAGCTGCAGCAATGTCACAGGGAAAGTTGATCCTACCTTGGAGAAGTACGTGAAAGCAAAGCTTACTCATCTAACTGTGTAGAAATCTAGAAAAAATGCATTTGTTTCCATTTCATCAGTCTAAAAGAAAAGCTTTCCCAACTAATTAGGMTGTTCAGTGAACCACAGTCTTGGCTACTTAATAATAACTCACAGTCACACAGGAAATTATTCWGTTGAATTCAAAATATGCCACGTTTCTGGGCAAATGCAAACAACTCCACTTTACAGATGCACTGGCAAGTTACCAGATGACTCAAACCCACATGTTACATCAGAATCAAAGATAGGAATGGAACTTGAAATCTCCAGAATCCTGAGGTTAAGCCTTAACTTCTGAAACGTAGAGTAATATCTGGAGATATCAAGGACGATGAAAAGGGTAAGAAGAGAAGACATAAAATGAAACCTTGGTGGAAATACAGAACAAAGAACTTGAAGGCTCTGCTCAAGAGARATGAGGTAATTTAATTTTTTTTTAATATGTGAGTCTTTGATTTCACAAGAATTACTTTGTGATATTGCAAAGTGTTTGAAGAGCTTTAGTACCTAAGTATGACCTAAATCACAAATTCGGACAGCAGCTTTGGGGGTTGAGCAGAAGAGAATTTTCAGAGTTTTCTGACAGTGACTGATGACACTTCACGGTCTGGTCTGCAGATGTTAACTAATGGTAGATATTATGGATGTACTTCTAACAAAAAAAAAAATTAAAAACTATGCCTTGCTGACACTTTCTCAAGTATTGTGAACAGCCATGAAGTTAATGTAGGTTCAAATTTTGCTGTAAATGCTATGCTCCCATATAATTCCTTGTGGCAGTATTACAGTTAAAAAACAACTTTTGAGACATGTCTCAGCTGTGGCCAAGTGGCTATTGCATTGTAACAGTCATGATTCAAGTCATTCTGTACCAGAACTTTCTCTACACGTGAAATAGAAACAGTTCTGCTTGATAGCCCCATAATCTTTGAAASTGAAAGCTTTTCTTGCCTTGCATTAGCACGCATCATGTAGGTTGTAAGGCTTTGTTGTGTTTGCTGTCACCAAGCACAGTAATTAGCCTGAGTTTGCCACATGTAGGTACAGCTCCATATTTCACACAAGGCTGTCTTCCATCTGAATTATATCTCTAGGGCTAATACAGTAAAGCACA